TTCAAGAATTTCAGCAAGATAATTATTTAATTCTTGATCTATTGCTTCTTGCATCTTTGATGTAATTTCAAAAAGATACTCGTATTGATGCCTGCTAAGAGAACTCAATGCCCAAGGTAAATTAGTATATTGAATATGATTTTGAGGATCTATATTAAAAACAGCAAAACTAGTCACAATATGAAATATTTCTGTATTCAGTCCTCGATCAAGATAGTTACGCTGGCCTTTTTGTTCATTATCAAAAGCTATGAACAGAAATCCTTCAGGCAAAGGTTCTTCATTTTCTGCCAGTTCGTTCAACCAGCTTTGAAAACGAGAATAACCACCTGAGCACGTAATATGGTTATTAATATTAATTATAGTTTTCGAGGGAGCAATAGAATACTTAATAGCCGATGCAACAAGATTAATTTCTAATACGTATTTCCTATGCCTGGACCCGTAGATTAAATCAACAGCCATCGCTTGTTTAAAAAGTTTTTTGATACTTAAAGAATCTAAATTGAAATTATTGTGAGTTAGTGTCTCTATAAATTTTACAATGACTGGATTGCGTTTACTTAGCCATGTTTGAGGAGAATAAGTTAATAGGTTTTTTAAAGAAAATATATTACTATTTTTAATCAGAAACTCAATATCTTTATATAAATATTCTCTTTCAAGCTGTACGATATTAATGACTTCTTGTATATGTTTATCCCGGTCGCTATGTCGAGAATTCCACTGTTTAACAAGTTCTTCATTCACTTTACATTGTTTTTGGTATAGATCCTCTAATTTAATTATCTCCTCGCAATATTTGCCTATTCTTTTTTTCAACTCAACTATTTTCACATTTTTAGTTTCTATTTGCACTAATAATTCTGTAATTATGTTAGCAAAATTATCTACATCTTCGCTATTTGCTTGACTTCTCAATGGATCTTCAGTTCTTTCAAGCTCTATTCATAAATGTGACTCGCCATGAATTCTGGAACTAGAGTTAGAAAGAGAATCAGAAATAAAATTGGTATTAGAATTGTTATCAAATTGAGATTTTTTGTCTATGTGACTAGAAGAAGAAAAAGAAGAATTATTTGATAGATGCTGATAAAAATGATCTTTAGAGACAACTTGATTGTAATGTATTTGGCAGATTGAGTAAGAACTTAAACTAGATTGAAGATCTGTGAGTTCAGGCATAAAAGCCTGAAATAATGGGAGCCGCCTAGCTGCTGCTTGACTATTAGCATGCCTCCAGGTTTGTGACGCAGATGTTTTGCAAGCACTTAGACCGATTTTATCATAACGACTAACTAGTCTATTAAATATGCAAGGAAGTTCATAGGCTTTTGGTCTTGAGGTTTGTGACATCGTGGTTAATTTTAGTATAAAACGCTAAAAAAAAAGGCTAATAAGTTTTTTAACAAGAAAGTTGGATATTAATATTCTTGCACTTTAGGTTTAATTTACCTATTTTAAAAGGGTTGATCCCGAAGTATTGTTCATTGATCCTGGTACTAAAAATTCTATAGTCTTGGTTCGTATAGCGTTTAACCTTATATAGCTATTGCTAAAAGCTTCGATCTGCGACTAGAAAATTGAAAAAATATAAAAAAAAAATGATGATCAACAGCCAATCAGATTGTTGCAGATTATTCCAGAATTGATTTCCATATTCAGTAAAATCTCTGACTGGAGTAACAATGATCTTCAATGGTATCACAAGAGGGCTAAATTCAAACCAGGGCCCAAGATCGGAGAACCGAATGATCAGGTCCTAATAGCAGAGAACACACTAGCCGAACTGCCAGGTTCTGTCGCACTGGAGGAAAAGAACATATGCTCCGAAAGTATGTACCAAGGGGAGGGCGTCCTTCAGGCCTTAAAGCCTGGGCAGACTGACCCTTTTGGGTTACCAGCTGGAAGTAAGGGAGAGACCGATAAAGAATCTGGGTAAGAAAACGCTCCAAATGCAGGTACTAGCGTTGTTGGAAACCTAATAAGGGTGGAATTTGATAATCACAGGGTTCAATGGTTAACCCTGACCCCAAGTACATGGGTAGAGCCGTGGTATAGATTACTGAAGTCTAGATAAAGAACACATGTGTGGGACATGTGATATCTAGCAAAATAGAAATATCCCGCCATCTAATGATCCGGAGGCACCTGGAGTTGGGATAAGCAAACTTCACAGAATGTAAGGACCAATAGTAAGATAAATGGAGTTAATATGACTATACTGGGCCGTAAGGTTTGGTACGTCTCACTCAAGGTGGTTCTAGAAGTTTGAGAACTGAAACACTGCAGGGGAAGGACCTGGGCCATCTACAGTAGAGGATGACTAATTAGGAAAGTTGTGGCTTGAGATACAGACGGGTTTTGGTAGTACCTTAAAAGGTAGCTTGAGATACGAACTCAGTAATGGCAGCATAACAGGTACTAGTTAGAAATTTGTAACCAATGATGTACTGAAAATCTTGTAAAAATAATGTATATTCGTGTACATTCTACTACAATGAGTAATAAAGAGGCAGTGTCATTAAAAAAAAAATAAATAAAGGTGAAATTGGAAGCATAATACCGTAAATGGCTAGATACAAGATCCCTCTAGATAGTAGACTTACCAGGTAGTATACCAGGATGCAGATCACAAGATCTATATTAATTAAATCTGAGTTTTTTCAAATATCTGGACTATCTATTATAAATACAAAACATGCATGCTTTTCAAAGTTTTCTTCTTAGTGATATGAGCTCTCAGCTGCATACTAGATCCTGGGTCTATTATAGGTTTTAAAATTGGTGGAATGTAAAAGACCTGGGTCTTGTATCTGGCTATGTACAGTAGCTTTCAGATATATATAAAATTTGATATTTGCTATATAAATTTACAATTATTATTTATATATATATACAATAAATTAGCACATCATATCTAAACTAACACAGACAAATTTGCCATATTTTTTTACTTTTTTAGCTCTAATTTACTTTTTTTAAATACTAAATTACTTAAATAAAACTTTGTATAATTATATTTGTAAATAAGGATTATTTTTTAGTTTCTATAATATAAAAAAAGTTTAGATTGCTTATAAGCTAAAAATAAATAAGTTTTGAAAAATAATTTATAAATTCTTGATAAACTTTTTAAATATTAATTTTACATATATAGTTCTTAAAATAATATTATAGTTAATAAAGGATTACACGTAATCAAGATCATTTGGACCAAAAATTTCCAAAAAATCTTTTGACTAAAAAGAAGCATAACTGACTATAATGATACTATAAGACATGGAAAATAAGGCCCAGGACAGTAGCTATCGTTTAAAGGTAGTTCTCATATGCTACCTACTAACAGCTTTAGAGTTTATCACTTACTGTACTTTGGTAAGCACAGCACTTGACATTTAGAGGTAGTTCTCATATACTACTTGCTGACAAGCTCAGAGTTTATCACTCATTGACAAAATTAAGTACTGTGTATGGTCAGAATAGTCTGGTGTGGACTTTTGAAAAAATAAAAAAACTGACACTCTTTTCTTATAGTACTAGTAGTGCTAGTATGGTCTTTCTTTCTGCCGCTTCTGCTGACTTCACCAAAATTTTCGACAAAAAGTAGATAATTTAGCTTATTCCCTCCAAAAGATCGGCATTGTTTATACCTGCCTAATTTGGACAAACTCAGTAGAATGCAACTACGTGTTTGTTTTGTTTATCAACGTGGTGCTATGGTATGAGGAAGAGTCCAGTACCCTGTTTAGAAGATACCCAAATAAATTCAGTGCTCGGAACGAGTCCCAAGGATAAGGCATAGCTTTACAGCTAAGATATAATAATTAGTTGCAACTATTATATAATTTTTATTTTTATGCCTGGCACAGGCTATAATAGTGTATTATGTTACTTTCTTTTTTTTTTTGCTTTTTTTATCTTTGTCTATTTATGTTAGATTACTTTAGAATTTGTTTCATTATTTGTGTTTTTTTTATCAATGTAAGGTGTTTTTTTTCTAAAATGTTTATATCTTTTGTAAACATATCATTATTTTTTCTACTTTTATATACGAATAAAGGTTAAACTATTCTGCCAGGCTTAGATGGAAGAAGTTTAAAAGAAAAGGAGATAGTCATGATAGGCCATAGGATCTATCTGTTGAGGTATAGTTTTGGGCCAAGTGCAAGTTAGAACTATAAGGAGGTAAATCCTACTGCAGCAGGTCGAACATAAGTGCTTATAAAGTAACTAGGTTAGCTAAGAATTATAATTTAGGTAATTAGAAAGTGGTATTTGTCATTTAGAGATAGTTCTCATATGCTATTTGCTGACAAACTTAGAGTTTATCACTTACCGTAAAGTTCTTCTTTTTAATTCATATTAGTTATAGTATCTAATATTTAGTCTAATAATTTAAAAAAAAAATAAAGAATTACAACTTTTATTATTGCACTTTTAGTAATTTACTAATAAAAATCAAGACTTTATTTAGAAGTGAAGATTTTTTATAAATAGAAAACATATAAAATTTAAGAAGATCTAAAGAAAAATTAGATATTCTATAGAATAGGTAGCAAACTCTATAAACTCTGCAGCTCCACTAAGTATTTATTAATTATTACTAATTATTAATGAAGCTTATTTTTTATATTACCCACTTATTTTATAAAATATCCAAAAAGTTAATAAAACTGATTTAGAATTAAATATTTTACTTAGAAAATATAGTACTAGAATTAATATTTAAGATTTTATTAAAAAATTAAAATTTTAAATAAAAGTGCAGGGTTAGGGTCCCATAACCTAGTGGTCTAGGTGCCTAATCCTCCACAGACGAGGTCAATGATTCAATTATAGCTGGTGGTAATTAATTTAATTGATTATCTCTGTAACCTATGGGAGTTTTCAAATGCAAAACCCTGTGACGATAAGACTATGTGAAGTACTTATTTGGCCTATAAAGAATTCTTAGAAGGAGTCCCGAGCTGTAGAGAAGACTGGGCACTATGTGTAACATGGTGTCACAGAAAGTAATATCGCATAAGGCTGTGCATATAAATCCTCGATTGGCTAGATAGCACCAACAACTTTAAGGCGGTCTTGGGGATCTTAATTAGGAGGATGGCTAAATGT